AGATGACCGGCCACCCCACACTTTATTTCCAACCATACCCAAGCCACGAAGGAGCTCAAGAATGGACAGAACACCAGCCTATATATCTAGGCACACACACAATCATGGCACAAGAAGAGGTTATCACCTTGATCCATGTACTCAGCATACGTATCTACAAGCCACAAAATAGAGAGGCGCATGGCCCTCGATTCACAGGTCTATACTCTGTACTCATCCATGCATCCACAACAAACCACCCTAACTCCATCGCTAATGCATACAAAGGTACAAGATGCTCAAAAGGAAGCACATGATCAAGCAGACATGAGATGAACTTAATTAGAAAATTAATTAATTAGAAGCTTAATGGCATAAACCACCTCCAAACTTTGGTTACTTACAAAAAAAACATCATTTGAACGTGCAAAACTCGTTGCCGACACAATAGTTTGTCAGCATTGGGTTCAACTCGCTTTAACTGGGTCGAATTAGGTTGATGGTCGAATACCCATTGATTTGGGTTCAATTGTCATAAGAAAATAAATTAGAACCTTAATGGCACAAATATATCTCCAAGCTTTGGTTAATTATAAAAGGATTACCCTTTATAATGTGACTATGAAATAACTCTATAAAAAATAGTAATTTTGTTACTTGTTCTTTTAAAAAGTTAATATTGAGCAAACGCCAGACGAGTTCTGTGGTGTCGTGCCGGCACCCGTGCCGCCTAATTTACAGCGGTTAGATACAAGATAGTAGACAATCACCATTGATATCTGACCAGCACGTGACTAAAACCTGTTCAACCTATTATTTCGGTTGAATTTTTTATTCTAAATTCTCTTTTGAATTATCTGTTTATTTTCATCACGATTTTTCCCTTCTTTACTGAGCCAACGAAAATTTGAATATAGCTCTATGATTTTGTGGACGCGTTATCCCGGGAAAAGCAAGGTAGTATCAGAACAATAATTTCACCATCATCTTCAATTGATCAATCGCCATCAACTGAAGCTTTAACACTAGGGGACAGTAGATTAATTTACTGTGTTCTTCGTACCCTGTTTCTTCACCTCACTCGGTGTATTCGATAACCAGACGCTCAACAGCCGCTGAGAAGAATTGAACTCTGGCAAAATTCTCCGGCTAGCAGCTGCACCAAGATGGTGAACTGGGGATGGCCTAGCGGCGACGGTGACGGCGATGGTTATTTGGACTGACAACGGGAGTCGGGATCTGGATTTTTTTCGTTCATATATAGAAGACTTGCAGCGGCGAAGGCGGCTGGCCGGCGATTACGGTGGCGATGGTGGTTTTTAACTGATCAGTTTGAACGACGCAGAAGAGTGTGGACTCGGAAAATAGGAGATTTTTTTTAAATTTATTTTACTTTTTATCTGATCAAATTAGAACCAATTCTGTCAAACCAAACCTGTCAGATTAATTGGCGGCATAGGTGCGGCACTAGGATGGCAATTTCGACCTGACCCGATTTACCCGACCTGTTTGGCCTGTTTTGGGGTGGGTCCGACCCGCCCCGTAGGCGGGTCGGGGCGGGCATGGGCACCTCTTATTGACCTGATCTATCCTGACCCGCCTCATTCTCGACCCGTTCTTGCCTAAATTGCATGTAATCTTATTCAAATTACTTAGGATTTTCCTTTTATTACCTCATATTTTAGCTATAATAAATTTGTAAATAAGTAAAAACTTCAATTTCTTCAATAATTTTACTACATTTTATCATATTATGGTTTTTTCTTGGTCTTTTAATAAAAAAAATAACATATATTTCTTATATTTATCATATATTTTACATACCCATTAGGTCAACTTGTCCCGACCCGCGCCTCATAAAAAAGTACCCGACCAGAATCCGACCAGCCACAGAACAAGTATGGGTATCGAGATACCGCCCTAACCTAACCTGCCCTATGCGGCACCATAGAATTTCCGGACATATATATCATCGATATCCAATTATCACATTATGCCGCAAGCAACCAAAATTTTGGTTACTGTTCCTTACGAAAAAATAGCATAACCGGGTTACTGTTCATTTAAGCGATGTCCAAGGGCCGCCCCAACACTGCAGTCACATCTATTATTAGTTTTAACTTTGGGTTAATTGCATGGTTGGTCACTAACATTACAAAAAGCGTTCATGTTTGGTCACTGAAAAAATTTAAATCCATTTGTGGTCACTAACTTTACAAAACCCGTTCATTTATGGTCACTCTCCGTTAGCTGCCGTCCAACGCCGTTAACGGCCTCCGTTAAGTGATGACGTGGCTGACGGATTCGCCTAATCAGCACCTTTTGACCCTAAAATTGACCGCCACGTCATTTAAACCCGCCATGTCAGCTAAACCTAACCAAACCTAACCAAACCTGAACAGACCCAACCCACCCACTCATCTATGTTATTTATGTTATTTATGTCGCTTTCGGGGATTTTTAAGGGTTTTTTCAGTTCGTCTTCCTCTTCCCTTGATAAACGCTTGTAACTGGACCGAGATCGGGGCGTCGGAGTTTTCATCCCCGCACAAATCAATCTATCTCCACTGTAGGAAAAATTTCCATCACTTTGACTGGAAAATTATCAGAGGAAGAAAGCAGTGAATCGAGAGAAAGAAGGGCCACAAGAAGCCGGAGCTTCAACCACCATAGTATCCCCGACAACAGTTCAATCATCAACCAGCCGGAGATTTTGTCTTCCAATTCCGGCAACAAGAGTCACGAGAAGCTTGGATAGTGGCTCGGAATCGCCGGCCCTTCTGTCTTCTTTCTGTCGACGTCGAGAGAAGGATGCACGGATCCAAATCAACAAATCCTCCCCAACAAATCCTCCCCAGACCCGACCGCATCTCCAAAGCAGATTTCATCATCCCACTTGGCTCCCTTCCTAGCCATTTTTAAGATTCTCCTTCTTTTCTCCCTCCATCTGTCGTTATATCCCACCCATAAGCCGGTCCATCTCAAGTCTCAACAGAAACTAAGGAAGAAAGAAAGAAAGTGAAAACAGAGTAACCCAGAAGTCGAGCGAGCGAGCGAGCATCAGGGCCGTGTCTCGTCTGCAACTTCCTTCCTCCCAATTTCACACAACCATCCTATCTTATCCCTATGGCTGCAGCAGCTACTTCGGGGGGAACGGTGCTGAACGGGACCCTGGGATCTTCCTTCCTGTCCGGAAGCAAGAAGACCCAATCCTTGTTTGCTGCCGCTTCCAGAATCGGAAACAGTATTGGCGGAAGGAAGTTGGTCATTGTATCCGCCGCTAAGAAATCTTGGATTCCCGCCGTCAAAGGCGGCGGCAACCTAGTCGACCCCGAATGGCTCGATGGCTCGTAAGTTCCTGCAATCTCTCTGCTCTGCTTCAATTCGAATGCCAATTTAACCAACTAATTGAATTTGTATGTAATTGCAGGCTGCCGGGCGACTACGGGTTCGACCCGCTGGGGCTGGGGAAGGACCCGGCTTTCCTGAAGTGGTACAGAGAGGCGGAGCTGATCCACGGGCGGTGGGCGATGGCGGCGGTGGTAGGGATCTTCGTGGGGCAGGCGTGGAGCGGGATCTTCGGCGGGCTCCATTCCTCCTTCGTCGCCGATGAAACGGGTGGAGAGGAAGAAAAATGGGAAAGATGAAGGCGGCGCGGGATGGAGAAGCGGCCTGAAGAGTTGTAGAAATTAGGTTTTGTTTAGTGGCGGGTGGGTCGTTTCTGTTGGTGGGTTGGGTCGGGTCTGGTTTGGTTGAGGTTTGGTTAGGTTTAGCTGACATGGAGGGTTTAAATGACATGGCGGGTCGGGTCAGTCAATTTTAGGGTCAAAAGGTGCTGATTAGGCGAATCCGTCAGCCACGTCATCACTTAACGGACGCCGTTAACGGCGTTAGACGGCAGCTAACGGAGAGTGACCATAAGTGAACGGGTTTTGTAAAGTTAATGACCAAAAGTGGATTTAAATATTTCTAGTGACCAAACATGAACGTTTTTTATAATCTCAGTGACCAACCATGCAATTAACCCTTTTAACTTTTAACAACCATTCTCATTTTTAAACTACCAATCCTCCATTCCCTAAGCCACGCTGGGTAGAAAAAGATACTCTGCCAAAACATCAATTTCATTTTTTCTTTTCATTGATGAGAATTGAGGGGTGATATAAGCAACTTTTCCTACAACTTTGTAGAAATTGTTTATTTCATGGTCATTATATTTCATCAAATACAAAAAACAGAAAAAACATCAATGGTACGTACAAGTTTGTAGTAACACTTTCGATTAATCTTACAACAGAAACAATCTGATTTCATTGTATTGATTGAGCAAAATCTATTATGAAAATCTATTGTAATGATTAAAAAACTACGCAAAACTGTTGGAGGGATAGTTATTTCATGATTAAGACACTATGTAAAGTTTATGAAGGGATAATCATTTCTTATATATCGATTAGACAAACAAATTAAGTAAGTCTACGTAGTATAAGTTTGAACAAAAGTTTATTTACTATTAACAAAGCTGTTAATCTCATCAATGAAACATACAAGTATGTAGTAACACTTTAGATAAATATCACATTTACAAAGTACGTTCGAGATTCATAGGTCATAAGAAACAATTTAATTTCAGTGTATCAATTGAGCAAAATGTATTACGGATTTTTTTTTTGTAATGATTAAGACAGTATCTAAAATTTATGGAGGGATATTTATTTCATGATTAAGATACTATGTAAAGTTTATGAGGGGATAATCATTTTTTATGTATCAATTAAACAAAAAATTAAATAAATCTACGCGGTATAAATTTGAACGAAAGTTCCTTTAATATTAACAAACATATTGAGTAATTCTATCGTAATATAAGTTTGAGTAAAATTACTTTACTATTTACTATATTGTTGACCATATGATCAATTTGCTATACGCAAAGGTTCTGTAAGGTTTTTTTTTTATTACTGTTTAATCAATGTGATATTTTCATAACATATTTATTTTATTATTAGTTAAAAAATGATTCATTAAACCTTATGGAGGTATCTATACAAAATATTTTGTTGATTATTTTCTTTAACTAAATCTTAAATGATAATCAGTTTTCTTGCGCAGCGAAGCGCGGGCCAAAAAACTAGTTATCACATTAAACAACAACATAAGTAGGTAGCTAGTGCCATCATCTAAAAATCTCAGTCATGCATTATTACAGGATACTATAATGATATAAATTATTACGAACCAATAAGCCATTGATCGATCGATCGATTATTCGTCACGACGTACGGTCGACGTAAAAGCTAACAATAATGAAGGTACGGCGTAGTGAAATAACAATCAACCAATTAATTAATCATCGTCAGAGAGTTTTTTTCAAACGTCGGCGTAAAGGAGGTGGTGGACGAGCTCCTTGCAACCTTCCTCGGCCTCTTCCTTGACGAACCCCATGGCATTGGCGAAGTGGAGGTTGGAGACTGCCCCGTTGGACCGGGTCAATATCACCTCCGACCTGCGGCGGCCCTCGTCGGGGACCTTGCAGTATCCCCAGGGGCTGCTCACCAGCACCGTCCGGCACAGCTGGTCCTCGTGGTCGTCCTGCACCGCGATCTCGTAGCTCCCGTGCCTGTCCGTCACGGCCGTGTCGCTGTACTGGAGGTTCATCGTCTTCCTGTCGAAGCACTTGATCGCCACCATCGCACCTGCGCGTGACCGCATTCCATACATATTTCACAGTTGGTCTCAATAACTCGAGTTGTTGTTGTTGTGTGGGGAGGGCGTATTATAGGGTATAGTACGTACCAGGGATGTACGTGGTCTTGTTGGTCTCGAAGCCGCAGCGGCAGGTGTCGCAGTACACGCGGCCGCGGACGACGAAGGGCTTCCCGACGTACTTGGAGGTGGTTGGTGTTGGGAGGACGGCGGCGCAGAGGAGGGCTAGCAAGAGGAAGCTCCACCGAGCCATGGACGCCATGGTAATGATGGATACGGCTAGCGGGAAGAAGGAACTGGAGTCGAAGAAGGAGGATGGATGCAAGAGCGTGGTTAATTAGCTAGTGGAGAGAAAACTGATCATATCATATAAAGGGGCATTAATTAGGTTAATTATATTGGGATGTGGATGAGCAAATTAAGTGTACGTACATGGGGTCACGTGGTGGGAAGAATGAGAAGTGGCACTTCTTCTGCCGTCTTTCTCTCCTCCTCCATTTCTCTCCATTTCTCCGACCCATATGTTAGGCACTGGTAGGGCTGCAAATGAGCCAAGTCGCTCGCGAGCAACTCGGCGTTCGAATCGGAAAAAACTCGTTCGACACTCGACTCGTTATTTAACAAGCTGGCGCGCGAGCCAACTCGTTAGTTAACAAGCCAAGCTTGAGCTAGACCATGCTCAGCTTGATAAGCTCGAGAGCTAGCTTGATTCAGTGGCTTGTTGAGCTAAGCTCGCGAGCTTCCTTGTTTAGAGCTTGTGAAAGGATGGATTACTCTTTTAAACATGAACATTGTCTTGTTAATACAAATGTGTATGAAATTTAGATGTAATTTATAGTTTCTAGTGTTATTTCTATCATTTAAATTCTTATGTTTACACATTTTTTCATCAAGAATGATTTTAAATCGATCTCATCTTGAGCCGAGCTTGTACTCAGCTTGACAAGCTATGTTAATGAGCATTTATCAAGCTCTACCGAGTCGAGCTCGAGCTAGATGATTTTTATTCAAGCCGAGCTCGAGCTGGATTATCAAAATTCGAGTTCGAGCCGAGTTCGAGCTAAAAAATTAATAAACGAGCCGAGCTCAAGCTAAGCAAAAACTCGACTCGACTCGGCTCGTTTGCAGCCCTGCCCACTAGTCAACAGTGATGGCAATGGATCGGGCGGGGCGGGTACCTCAATCCCCATGTCCCGCCCCACTCTCGTACGGGTCGGGGCGGGTAATACCCGCGCGGGTACGGGGCGGGACGGGTCGACCTACTCTTACATGTTATTTGAGAAAAATACACACACAATTTTACTTTTTATGATAAAACGAAGGGGAAAAAACTTTATGAATGAATAATAGTGATAATATAATAAGTAATTGAGTCTATTTAGTTTAAAGATCAAGTCTAACTAGTTGAGTAAAAGCCAAAATAGGAGATATATGAATGGATGAGGTAAAAAATTGACCTAGAACGGGCTAAGAATGGGGCGGGGCGAGCCAGGGCGGGTCGGAAATTGATACCCATGCCCCGCCCCATGCTAATGCGAGTTGGGTAATACCCGCCCAATCGCGGGTTAGGTCGGGTATTACCCGATAGGGCGGGTTCAAATTGTCATCCCTACTGGTCAATGTGTTTTTTATTTATGAATATAGCACCGGTGATTATTACTTATTGATGCCATTTACAAAATAAACGAAAGACAGGGTAGCAATTAGGCGTGGTGTAAATCCAACAATAAAGAAAAGTTTTAGACTAGAATCGGATCGATCGCCTAAGTGGTTCAACCTTATGATTTGGTTCGATCTTAGTATAAATTTGATCCTTTTCCTTTAACATTCGTGATAAAAAATTAGAAGGTATACTATATTAATACATAATTTAGATTGATCCAATGTCATTTTTTAATCATGCGGACCAAACTATTATACAACATTTAATGCTAACTTAGAGATCTAGGGAAATCAAGAGGGAGGAAGGAAGCTGCTTATTTCAAATCAAGGCTAGTGTGGCTACTACAGTTTGTTTATTGCTCCAATGGCTGGAAATTTGGAGGGAAAGCATGTGAGGCACGTGCATTGAGCCCGGCTCGCCTACCTTTTGAAGTTTGACCTTGTGCTGGATGGATAGATGCCGATCGAGAATGGAGATGAGATTTGACTTTCACTTATCTGTTCTGTGGATCCATAGATATCCATCGCCCTGGACACGCAGGGAACCTATAATTGAGAAGTCCTGCTCCCCAAATTTGGGCGGGTTTTGTCAAACACAAATCCAAACTCACGGGTTTATCCGCCAAACAAATCCGGGATAAAACCCGCTGGATTTGAAAAACTCAAACCCAACCCAACCCGCTGAGTATCCGCGGGTTCATGGGTACCCGTGGGTTTTGTGGTAAAAAAATTACAATAACAAGTTTCTTTCAAAATAAAAGTTTAACATCAATTTTCTCATACAAATTATTCTTACAAAAAACACCAATCTAGAGCATACAAGCAAACCACAAATGATCAATACAAATTGTTCAAAATTAAAGATAAACATCTATAAACAATAAGATTAATTGAAAGCTTCTTCCTCGTCAACTAAGTTTCTTCACTCTCCACTTCATAATATCAACTTCATTCTAAACAATTAGAAAGAATAAATTATGCATGTCTTCACAAACATAAAGAATATTAGTTGTTTAAGGAAGATATATTATTTAGAATATTAAATATACCAGGAAAGTAATTATATGTGTGTGGGCGGGTACCCATGGGGCGGGTTTACCTAAACCCAAACCCAAACCCGGCCCAAAACCCGTCAATAGGGGTGGGCATTGGGTGGGTCGGGTGGATTTTGACCATAAAATGCACCCACCCGCGCTTAAACGGATTGATAATTTTTAACCCACCACCCACCCACATTTAGTCTCGGGTTGGGTCGGGCGGATGGTGGATGATGCGGGTG